CTGTATACTAACCTTGAATTTATCGACACCATGACATTTTAAAGACAAATACTTGGCCAACTGATTGGAAGGTGTTCATATTTGTGTTCATTCCAAAGGAAGGTAACCAAACATAATGTGGAAATATCAAACTGTATCATTAATACCACATGCAAGTGAAAAATTATCACAGCAGTAAGTATATTGACAGGAAGCTGCCAGAAATTTAAGCCAAATTCAGAAGAGGACCTGGAACTAGTGATGTCATCACTGACATCAGTTGGATCTTGGTTGGAAGCAGAGATGACCAGAATGATGTTTATTTGTGTTTTATTCATTATGCAAAAGTTTCCAATTGTGTGGATCCTAACAAGCTATGGACAACATTGCGAAGAAGAGATATTCCAGAATACTTACTTGTGCTCATGAAGAACCTGTACACAGACCATGAGACAGTCATTAGAACAGAACAAGTGGATACTGACTGGTTTAAAATCAGGAAAGGTGTTTGCCAGGGTTGCATTCTTTCACCATATTTATTCAGTCTGTATGCTGAGCAAATAATCTGAGAAGCTGGATTATATGAAGAAGAATGTGGTATTAAAATAGGAGGAGGACTCATTAACAACCTGTGATATGCAAATGTCACAATCTTGCTTGATGGAAGAGGACTTAAAAGAATACAATTTTCAGTATGATTGCACCTTAATGTAAAGACAAAAATCCTCACAGCTGAACCAGTAAATAACAACACAATAAACAGAGAAAAGACTGAAGTTGTTAAAGACTTCATTTTGTATAAATCTACAATTAACATTCATGGAAGCAGCAGTAAAAAAATCAAACAGTATATTGCATTGAGTAAACCTGCTGCAGAAGACCTCTTTAAAGTGTCAAAGAGCAAAGACGTCAGTTTGAGAATTAAGGTATGCCTGACCCAAGTTATGGTATTTTACATCATTTCATATGCATATAAAAGTTGGGCGATGAATAAGGAAGATTGCAGAAAAATTAATGCATTTGAATTATGGTGTTGGTGAAGAATATTGAAAGTACCACAGAAAACAAACAAATCTGTGTTGGATGAAGTACAGCCAGAATGCTCTTTCGAAGGACAAGAGACGAAGAGATGGCGACACTTTGTCTCTTGTGCTTTGGAGATTTGTTGGTAGGGGTCTGTCCATAGAGAAGGACATCATGCTTGGTAAAATGGAGGGCCAATAAATAAGAAAAAGACCCCCAATGAGATGGACTGACATGGTGGTAGCAACAAAGGCTTTAAAGATAAAAACAATTGTTAGGATGGTACAGGACCGGAGAGTGCTTTGTTCTGTTTTGTACGGTGTTGCTATGAGTTGGAATTGACTCAACAGCACTTAACAAATATCACTTTGTAAGGACCAAACTGATTTTACCTACCTAGAGACTGCTTGACTAAACTCTAGTCAGGCTCAGGAAAGCATTTTAAATAGACAAGGCCTCAGTTTTTAGTTCCCTCCAGAGACAAGGTCAATCTCCATTCTGTACATTAGCCTGAACACGTCCTCTAGCTCCAAGAAAATGATATATGTATAAATAGCCAGGCAGCTCAAGGCCAGAGACCAGATGTTTTCCTTTACCCTAGCCTAAGAACAAAGAACACCAGTCCTGACCAATTGAACTGTAACATCTCATAGTTTGCCAATTGTTAACCAATCCAAAGATTGTAAAGCTGAGAAACCTGAGCTGTTTGAAAACTCTATAAAAACCCTGCAGACAATGAATTCAGGGCTCTTTCCCTATTCCGATGCGTCGGATAAGGTTAGAGACCTGGCTCGCGCTTGAATAAACTTCCCTTATGTATTTGCATTGGTACACGGCTCCTGGGTGGTCTTTGGGGACCCCGAATTCTGGGCATAACAACTTAACAACAATAGTGTCTTTTTAATTTAAAAAATGTATATACATATAATTTAAAAACAAGGAACTTTGATGGTGCAATGGTAAGCTCTTGGTTGCTAACCAAAATTTTGTTGGGCAATTTTAACCCACCAGCTGCTTCTTGGAAGTTAAGACCTGGTGAGCTGCTTCCATTTGTTGTTGTTGTTAAGTGCCGTCGAGTCATTCCTTTCATAGTGATGCTGTATAGGGTTTTCAAGAAGTGCTGGTGAGTTGAACTGCCAACCTATCAGTGGTCCAGTGCTGTATCCCACAGCGCCACCCCAGGACTCCAGCTGCTTCACACTACCTCATTAGATTTCCTATACTTTTTTTTTTTAGCAGCTTCCACAAAGCTTAGGCTTGCAGGGTATACCCTTTGGTCGGTTGATGATGCATGGAGGGGATTGCAACAACAGCAAAAAAGAGATAATTAAAAAAAAAAAAATAGCCTGCTATAATGTGATGGCTGGAACTGTGGTTATCTTAACAGGGCAAATGATTTCGTGGGCCTTATGCAGCCCACAGGAGTCCTCGTGTGGCACTGTGGGTTAAAACACTGGACCACAAGGTTGGCAGTTCTAACTCACCAGCCACTCCTTGGAAACCCTAAACTGGGTCGCTATGAATCGGGTTAGACTCGACGGCACTTAACAACAACAATGTAGCCAGATGTTCCCCACCCCTGTTCTAGTGCCTGGTGTTAGGAAAAACATTGGATTGCTAACTGCAAGGTTGGTGGTTCAAACCCACTTGCCACTCTTTGGAAACCCTATAGAGGATCTCTGTGACTTGGAACTTACTCAATGGATCTTAACAACAACAATGTTTCAGCCTTGCTATTCTGGCTTGATACTTTGTGCAGTGTCTTCCACACTGTTAAGCACTCAATAAATGTTTTAGAGTAACAGATTTTGGTATGGATGCTATTTTCGTATCATCATTTTAATCTTCCTCAATTTGGTTCTAGCATTTATCTATTTGTTTATGTATTTACTTATTTTATTTTTATTGGACAATTCATTGGCAGTAAATTAAAACATTTTGAAGAACGTTAAATCTTTCATTACTTTTTTTTTTTTATGGTAGATACTACTCACTCCAAAAAGAATTATGAAATGAATGGACGTGAGTATCATTATGTGTCAAAGGAAACATTCGAAAGCCTCATGTATAGCCACAGGTAAAGGCAAAGTTCAGAATCAAATTCATGGGTCTGATTGCTTACATTCAAAATAGATAACCTATTTTTTTTTTAAATCAATTTTCTAAAGGTCTTGAGATAATTCCTTTGGTTTCTGCAAAGGTAAGTAAGGAAATGTATGTTGATGTTTAAATACAACAACTCATTGGATTTGAAGAGTGAGCAGAAGTGTGATACAAACTAGATCATTTGAGGAAGTGCCATTGCTGGTGTTAAGTGGTGTTCAGTGCTCCCCAGTGGATTCTGACTCATAACAACCCTGTAAAGGGTTTCCAAGCCTGTAATCTTTGCAGGAAGGGAAAACCTTATCTGTCTTCTGGGGAGTGGGTGGTAAGCTCAAATTGCTACTGGTGGTTCACAGTCCAGTGTTAATCTACAGAACCATCACGCTCCCAAGTGAAGTCCTAGCTATCCACATTTTTTTGGATCCTTATGAATATCCATTAATTCTTTTTGTGTTAGCAATTTCCAAGCATATACATTATCATCTGTTGGAGTCTACCTTGTTTTGTTGTTGTCGTTAAGAGCCATTGAGTCAGTTCTGACTCATAGCAACACTGAATATGGTTTTCAAGAAACATGTGGTAGGTTTAAGCCACTGATCTTGAGGTTAGCAGGCCAGTGCTTAGCCTACAGTGCCACATTACTAATATTTTACTTACAGAGTTATCTCCTCTTTGTCTCAGGATGCTGGAGTACGGTGAGTACAAAGGCTACCACTATGGCACTAGTGTGGATGCTGTTCAAGCAGTTCTTCATGAAAGATAGGTATGTGTTATGTACTTAGAGCCTCAGGTGGGTTTGGTGTGGAGGATTTCTCATCTCCTTAAAGTAATGAATGCGTGGCATCCATTTTCTGCACATGCTGTAAAATATAGTTGAAACTTTCGTTAACCTTTTAGGATAAGATCCCTCCCCACATCTAGGGGTCATGATCTTACCTGAAGGATAAGTCAATTATCATTGTCTTGCCTTCAGTTAGGAAAAGAAATCTTGCTTCTCAAACATAAAACTAGGTCCAGAGAAGCAGCGATGCCAGCGATGGAAGCAGAGACGATGATATGGAGAGATGGAGTGGCTGGGGACTCTGGACTCAGGGAGGGAGAGGGACTGTGTGCTGACGGCTGGGGAGCAGGCTTGCGGGATATACCCTTTGGTTGATTGATGATGCATGGAGGGGATTGTAATCATTTCAATGAAATGAAATACAATAGGATGAATGTAAAGCTGATATTCTCCCATGTAAACTATTATTCAATTCACAATAAAAACTTAAAAATAAAAAAAAAAACCCATAAAACTAGAGATGAGTGAGTGGGTACAAAGAAAAGTTAGAATCTTTCTTTCCTTGATGTTGATCACAAAAGCTTCAAGGTAACTTCTTGTGGAGGAATAATAAGGCATTGTTTTATACAAGAAGGTAAAGTTTTCAGTTATATCTGTAGCTACCTCCTGAGACCATATGTGGACTAGAGCAGAATAGAGCAAGTTAAGTAAGATAAGGGACATACAATGTATAAGCCAAATTTTTATGATCATTGTATTTATTTGTACTTTCATTAACGTGACAATTGACTTAGCCTTCAGGTAACCAACAGAGAATCAAGGGAAGAGAGATGTGCTCTTACTTGGGTCACAGGTGGTCACGGTCAATGTGAAGATGGCAGGAATAAACAATGTGAGGTAATGAAAGAGGAAAGGGCAGTAGATGTGAAACAGAGCTGATCCACCTTGAAAATAATGTCTTTGTCCCATGACATCATTGTGGAGTCCTATTTTCAGATTTCTGTATGAATGCCATAGCTAGAAAGTGGAAGAGCCAAAATTTGAACTTAGTTTTCATTCTAGAGCAGTACCTCTTCATTATTAAAAGTTTTGCTTTTTAAGACTTGTGGGCAGATGAGAGTATACTCTAACTAAAAATAATTGCTAGTTTTTGATAATAGAAAATTTGAGGACTTTATATTAACTCTAGGAAATTTGAGCTTGTTTTCAAATGTGCATTTAATTTTTCTGCATAGTTTATTCAAGTAGCTCGAACCCAAGAAATGAAACTCTATGTCATATTTATAAAACCATCTAACTTGAGTCGTATGAAGCAATCTCAGAAAAATGCTAAGATCATTACAGACTACTTTGTAGAGATGAAGTTCAAGGTAAGATAGAGAGTAAGTGCTTGATTTTATATTTTCCTAGTAACAAAATCATAGCATTGCTTCTATAGGATTCTTATTAAGAAATGTAGTATTTCTAATATAATTCTGTTTGTCTTATCCTTTGCTCTGGTGGTGCTGGGGTTAGATGATGGGCTGCTAACCACAAGGTTGGTGGTTCAAACCCATCAGCTATTCTGAGGGGGAAAGCTGAGGCTGTCTGCTTCCATAAAGATTTATCATCTCAGAAACTCTATACAGAGTCACTATGAGTTGGAATCAACTCAGTGGCATTGAGTTTTGGCTTTGGTTTGCGGTTTTTACTGGACCTCACATAGATGTTAAAAGAAAGTTGAATAAATGCTATGATGCCACCCTTCGTTTTTTTTTGGTGGGTCTATCTTTAAAATACTCGACGGCACATAACAACAACAACAACAAAATCTTTAAAAAAAAAAAAAGGACCCAGATACATAGAAATTGGGTGTATGGGTGTACATAAGCCTGTATCTTAAGGATATTTCAACTTTAAAAAGACAATTGTGAATATATTTTGTATCTTATTACCTTACCTTTCATTACTTTTGTTTCCATAAATTTTCAATGACTGCTCTTTGAAAGTCTGATTCTCCAGGTTGCATTCTGGTTCAGTGGAGTTCAGGGCTGCATTTTCTGAGGGTTTTTAAATTTCTATAGGAATTTAAAATTGCGTTCTCAATTTGATGATTGTTTAAACAAATTAATAAAAATTGTCTAATGTGTGTAATCAACTTGTAAAGGAGGACTTTCACAAGATTCCAGTACCTGCATTTGCATTTATGTTTATGATTGCATTGACAGTAACTAGTACTATTTTAATTGTCATGAACAAATAAAATAACAGCAATAAATGTCTGGTAGCGTAGTGGTTACGAATCGGGCTGCGAACCTTAAGGTCAGCGGTTCGAAACTACCAGCCGCAACGCGGGAGAAAGATGAGGCTTTCTACTCCC